CCCAATCGGACGTGTTGTTATGGAGATATTGGCCTTCAAAATATGCACCTATATTGTGACATCAGGGGTCACGCGATTACGTCATGATGACGTCAATGTTTGGCACACATCTTTAGGTGCTGGTCTAAGTGTGTGCTGAGTATAAAGTCAATCGGATTGATTTTAGTGCCGACAGTGCCTTCCACAATGAAAACGTTACCGACTATTAGTCCCATTAAACCCATTGGTCGCCAAAAGATGCCTATCTTTACATACCAGTACTAGTAAGGCAGGAGAAATGAGTTCCCATGCACCCCCCTAAAATAAAATTCCAAGATGATTTTTAGAAACCCTAGGACATCTAATAAAAGGATTTTGATGTTGCCAGCGATAGAAAATGTCCCATGATGCCCTATTTTCATATTTCCAAGATGGCTGCTGTGCAAATAATTAAAAACGCTAAGTGTCATATGTCAATAACTAATGAGCCGATTTTGATGATCCTGGTGTCAAAATTATACATTTCTGGGGTGCTGAATCAATTTTCGAGGTTTTCAAACTGGTTGGAGGTCAAGGCCATGCAATTCAGGCGAAAGTCAAGGTCATTTTGGTAAAAAAAGTGTCATATTCATTTTCCCACTTGCATTATTTTTTACCTAGCTCCCATAGATATGGTGATAGAGGCCTACTTATTGCTTCACAAATTTTCCACATTATCCCAACTACCAAATCCATTTAATTACAAAAGATGTGGCATTTTATTTTGGAGCCTTGACTCAATATTTGACCCCACCCCCTAAGTTTGGGATATTGACCCAATATTATGGAAATCTTAAAATAGAGCCAGTGGATAAAAAGCTTAACGTTATGTTTATTTTTTTTAGGGTCATGGAATTGATTGATAGTGGTTTAGAAGTAATCAGAGGTCATTTTCTTGCTCAAAGGACAAGGGTCAAGGGCATTTTATTAATAGACAACTTCATTGTTTTGACTTTCCGACATACAATATTTTTGTCCAACTCCCATTGATATGGTAATAAAAGCTTATTGGTCAGAATTTTTTTTTTTTAACCCAAAGACAATTCTATGTCAACATTATGGTTAGTCATCATCTTCGAGGTCATAGGATGTGTCAATTTGAGGTCTTCATCATTGTGTTAAGGTCATCTTCAAGGTCATAGGATGGGAGAAATAACTACAACTTAGCGCAAAGACCTTGTTGCAATTGATGAACATTTATTACTTAAGTAATTCCTGAACCGGTCATTACAGAAAGATTACTGAGCTATTTATAACAAGTGACGTTGTGGCGAAGTCTTAGGGAAATCTTCGTCATCAATGAAAACATAATCTTCGTCAATCTCGATAGCCTCTTTAGGATACCACTTTCCACTTCGCTCTTTTGCTGGCCCTCTTCATTTTCAGCAGCATCAGTGTCCAACGGATCAACGAGTGATGGGAGCAAGATAGGGCCAATTGACCAGACAGGCTCCAGTACCCCCTCAACTGTCTTCAGCCACCTTTGACCCTCATCATACGTTTTGGGAGCCTCAAAATTAGGGTCAGCAGCACGCCTGTAGCCGGCCACACGGTGGTTGACGCACTGCACATGAGGGATGAGTTAGTTATGCTTGATGGCAGGCGTACCATGTCAACCTTCCTCTTGCAGTTAAGCTAGTGGTCCTCTCCCTGAGCAGCTTGCTCCTCACCACATTCGCATATGCAGTCTCACGCGCTTGACCATACATGGCACGGGTGAAGGCCTCCAACTGCTCCTGCACCTCTGGGGTCACCCTCCACGCCGGGGTCACCTCTGGGGTCACCTGTCACGCCGATCTGCCTGTAACACAGTTCACGATATACGATCACTACATGAAGCACAATGAATTTGAAAGAACACTTGCATATGACTATATAATTGTTGATATTGCAAATGTGCTGATATTGCAAATGTGATTTGCTTGAAAGCTTTGTGGAACTTGGTGTTCTACTGAAGCTTCTTCATTGGTGCCACCTTCCCCTTGCACTGATGTAGTCCTCCCCGAGAACACATAACGGTAGGCCAAGTACCCAGCAAACATGACGGTACAGGGTCGATGCCGGTTTGTTGTGGGCTTGTTCTGTATTGTGCTATAAAAGCCATATTTCTCAGTGCTTACAACAATGGCGGATGTACCAAAAAAAACCCAAAAAAGCTGTCAAGGTCAAGCTGTATGATTCATTGAGTACACCTCTTCCAGCTTTCCAAGCGTAATATTTCTATCGCAGCAAACCGGGTCTAATTCCTGAGGTTTGACATTCCGAAATACCTCGGGAGCAGTGCCTTCGAAGCAGTGCTAGGTCTGCTCCCCAGGAAATCTCGCACATGTCTGATAGCCTACGAGAGCACATACAAGCAAAGGATTCGGATGTCACTTGAATGCTTGCACACCTCACGACCACATGTGCTTGCAGGACAGCGGGGGTCTGGCGTACGACACCTATGGGTCAGAGTTGGTTATACGATCATCCACGCCTGGTCACAGAGGCAGGGCACCACCAACACCAAAGTCATCACATTTTAGCAATAACAACACCGGCACAGTCATCATGTTTTAGCAACGCTACTACAGCTATATGGTCACACACATTTTTCGGGTGAGACACAAGTTTTCAGCTCCATACATGGTCATATTTTCTGAGTTTTCTACGGCGTTCCTGGTGGGCATTTCACACTGCTATATGCGCCGTACTATGGGATCGTGAGGTATTTTCTCCCAAGGTCACCGGTCTCAATCTCCGCAGTAGTGACACCGCTGCCCGCTGGACTGTGTGAGGAAATAGCGGCGTGACACACGCGCCCGCTCGACATCAGGACTGACTTGGATTTTCCGGTGGTCACTCAAGGTCTGAATCCAGACTTGGGACATGACAATGATGAGTGTTGTATATAAATTGCAAGGGAGGCACTGGGTCAGCCCAACTCTTATCATGGAGATCGTTCCAATGGTGTATCCAGAACAGAGTCACACTCAGAGCAACATATTTTCCAGAGCCAGCTTTAACTTGAGGGAACATCATCCCGACAGAATAGACACCTTGGCCCAACATAGTGCAGGTGTTATTCACACTGATTGTCCTATCACATAGAGATCTGTTCATGTAGGCAAACAACAATTAGCTATCGGTTTCTCTGCTCTCGAATAACTAATGCTTGAGCATGGCACATACATGTAGATGCACTGTCATGCATTGCTGCTTATATGCCTCTTCCCCCTTATCTGGCAAATTAAGAGCTACAAGGGGTGATCGATAAGTTCGTGGCCTAAGGTAGAGGGCGATGATTATACTATAGTGTGCAAGTTGATTACAGAGAAAGTTTGAAGTTATTATCTGTTCTTGTTTTTCTGTTACGGATAATTAAACCTTGATAGTCACTGGTTCCTTAGAATTAAACCAAACAAACTAAAAAATGGCAACACTGTCCCTTGAAAGGTTGTGCCGAGTCCGTTTCTGATCAGGTTCAAGGAGCTTCGGGGCCCAACGAGCTGACACCTTGGACATTTGGACGCAATGGCTGATTTTTCCATATTTTTTTCATTTTCAAGGTTTAATTCTCAAGAAATGGTGACTGTCAAGGTTTAATTATCTGTAACAGAATAATTGACATGCCGAACAAGAAAAAATAAAAAAAACAGAAAAACAAGAAAAGATAACTTCAAACTTTCTGTGTAATTATTCAACAAGTTGAACTGCTCACAATATTATTCAAAACTGTATAGCTCACCTCCTTCTTCCTTATGCCACAAAATTATCAATCACCCGTTGAATTATGATAAGATTTGATGCATGTTGATTTTGTTTTCTTATTTTTGCTGTTGTTTTGCTTGTATGTGTATAGGGCCTTGAGCACCTTACGGTGGATATGTTTGCACTCTATAAATGCCTATTATTATTATTATTATTATTTGCAATACCCAAAACGAGATGAGAGATCTTATGCTTGTCCGCGTTGGATCAACTCGACTCAAGCTGCGTCCCACAGCCTTAGAGCTCGAGCGTCTTCTGTAGGATTCTTGCAGTTCCAAGAAGAGCCGCCTTCTGCAGCAATTTCACCTTCACGGTCGAGCCGATCTCGTCGAGATGTTTCTCCAGGGACTTGGGAATGGTACCCAGGGCCCCCACAATGACTGGAATGACCTTCACCTTGACCCTCCACAACTTGCGTAGTTTCCTGGCCAACAAATCCTGGTACTTTAATTTAATACCTTCTCCTTTTCTTTCTTTGCAACCCGGGCATCACCAGGCACTGCCACATCTATAACGTGGCACATCTTCGCATTCTTATCTACATGATCTAGGACAACAACATCCGGCCACCTATGCTCTACAACATGGTCAGTCTGAATGTTGAAATCCCAGAGAACCTTCACCTCCTCAGTTTCCAGAACCACCTCCGGAACGTGCTCCCACCGCTTGTCCTTGACCTTGATCCTCCGTTTTTGGCAAACATCCCAGTGGATCACCCTGGCTAACTTGTTGTGCCTCTCCTTGTATTCCGTCTGTGCCATCTTGCTGCTTTCGCAAACTAAATGAAATAAAGCCTCCTCTTTCTCTCCATACATCCTACACATTGGAGATACACCATAAGGGAGACACGTTATCATAATTTCTTCGATAGTGAGGAAACACCGGTCATTAGGGAGACACATATCTGTCTCCCTAATGGCACAGCCTCCCCTTTAGAGGCCACATTTCCTGACACAATTAGGTTACATTTGTTGCTCGTGGTCTAATTAGTAAACGTACCGAAATTCGTGGAAAAAGGACAAGGGAATATTAGGTTAGGGCACTTTTAAGTTTGAATAAGTCTATGGGAAAGTCTCCCTAATGACCCATTGCTGGTAATAATTATTGTTATTACTTTTTTAACTAGCAGTTGTTCAGTCAAACTAAAGTATTCAGTTAAGCTACACAATTAAAAAGAAATTGAGTATCCTTTGTACTTCAGGTAACAATGAATTCACTTTTTCAACAAATAGGAAATGTCGCCGATGCTTTGGAGACACATCCTCCTGATGTTTTCATTTCAAATGATGGTGGTTACAACTGGACAAAAGCATTATCTGGCCCCCATCACTACACTGTAACAAACCATGGTGGTCTTTTGCTGGCTATATCTGCCGAACAGGATGTCACCAATACTATCAAGTAAGAATTACTTTCATCTTCTTACAAACCTAAATTTAAAATTCCTAACAGCTGCATAGTGAGACTTGGTCTGTTCTGTAAATTGCATTTGCAAAACCTCAAGTTTTGTTTCCTTCAGTCGGAAAAAAAAGAACCATAAGGCCCCAAAAAAAAGGGAAAAAAAAGAGTTGGTCTCTGGTCAGCGCGCGTGTCGATTTTGATCATGCGCATCAGTGGTTTTTTTATTTCAAATTTTCTGCAGTAGCTACTACAGTGCCCTCTATTGCGCCTCAAAGTTTTGTTTAAAAACAGGTTCTGTTGTTCTGAAAATGTAGCAGGGCTTGTTTTTAAAATGTTTTGGAGGCAAAGTCCAGAGTCATAAAGAGTTGCCTTGGCTGTACGGAAAATGTGAAGGAAACGGGTACCGAGGCAAACGAGGAGGGAGCCTACCTGTAGGCAAATGAGGGGCACCAAGGAATGGGGAAGGGCACAAAGGCAAATGATGGAGGGCATTAAGGTATATGAGGGCACAAAAAAGCAAACTTGTACCCACCTTGTCTGTAAAATCCAAGCTTAAAGAAAAAAAGATCCCCCCCCCAAAAAAGAAAATGCATCGCCGCATCAATTCCGGAACTTTGGTCTGACCAGAGACCAGCTATTTTTAATTTTTTTTTGCCTAAGCTTGTTGAAACCACCTAACAAGTTGCTTCGTAAAGGCTTGCAATATATCTGCCAATTAGTAACTAAGTAAAGATACTCTTCTCATGATGATGTCGTTTTTAAAGATATAGAAATTTGTGCATTTTGTTCGTTTGAAGCAACAAGAGTGCTCAAAGTCTAAAGAAGGGTACTGAACAACTAACCTGTTGAAGTTTCAGCTCAGCTTCAGCTGTATATTCCGAGAAAAACAGCATTCTAGGATCTCAATTTCAAATCAAAAGTTGCTGAATCATGTTTTGAATTGGGCCTGAATTCAGCGTCCGAGACACGTTCTCACTGAGCCGATTGCAGCTACGCGATGTCGTGCACTGATCCGACGAATTATAGCAACCAACCGCGCGTGTGCGTTGGGCCAATACTTAAGCGCGCTTTGCCGAATAACAAAACAAACTACTAATTTAAATTTTCTACGGTGTGTCTTAAGAAGCACCATTGGAAAGGCCTTCTATCGTTGATTACTTCAAATGACAGCTTGCCAGAAAGAATAATTTCACAGGGAGTTTAGTCCCCTTACTATCTTTCAACCAAGTATGTTTTTTAACAATAATTACGCCAGTTACTTTTCGGATAGCAGCAAATGATGGACTATAGCTTTAAGTGCCATGCAGATATGCTTATAACAATTTGGCATTCTCTAATAGCAATGATGAATTTGCGTCTTTTTAATGCACAGGTTTTCTTATGACGAGGGTCACTGTTGGAATGAATATAAGTTCTGTGATGAACCATTCAGCATTACAGGATTATTGCCAGAGCCAAGCACCAACTCTCTTAATGTTAGCATTTGGGGATTCGGATCAGAGGACAGAAGATGGAGGATTGTGACCATTGACTTCAGTGCTGTACTTAAAGATGAGTGTAGGTAGACGTGAAGAATACCAATGAAACACACATTTTGTTCTGAATTTGAATAAAACAAGTAGACCAATTGAATAAAGGTTTGTTTTCACTGCTCATATCAAGGGGGGGGGGGGGAGTATTACCAATGATGGTCATGCTTTGTTTGTGATGTAAAATTGAGTGGGAAATGTGCATCTAAACATTAATAACAATAACATGGTAATACTAAATCCTTAATTTTAACCAAAACCCCCAGTTTTTTGGGGAAAAATAACATAAGCATATTCCAAATCATTGCCACATTACTCAAATGAAAGGTTTTGTCCCTTTTAATTTGATACCGCATTTGAGGTTGTGATGCTTGTAGTTTTGAATCCTGTATTAAAAAATTGTACGCTGACTGTCTGAAGTCTGTCTGTCTGATGTGTGTGTCACTTTTTTGTTGCAAAAGACCTAAAAGTGTGCGGTAACACAAAATGCAAGGGTTAACTCTTTCAGTGCCCGCGAAATTTGAAAAGTTTAACCCTAAAGTGCCCAACTTAGAGCATTTTTGTTAATTGTTCAAAATTCTGTAAAAAAAAAAAGTAAAGTAAAAAGTAAGTTCTACTCACTAAATTTGTTGTTGCTCTCTGGTATATCCTTGGTATATTGGAAAGTCAATAGTAGTCACATACACAGTGATACACCCTGAAACACTGTCTTGCACACAGGGGAATTCCGCACTTTTTGCAGAAAATACGAGTGTCAGTGCTGCGCCCTCTCGCAAGAACTCGAATGAAACAAATAAATACAGGTCGTAACTGAATGAAAATGATATTATTAGAAAAAGCAAGAGCGCCCCCTTACTCTACCTCGTACATTGTACGTGTACGAGGTTTGGCAATTTTTAAATACGAACATTGCCTCGTACATGTATGAGGTTGGCGATTTCGAACTAACAAATATACCTCGTACATGTACGACTTTGGCACTGAAAGAGTTAATGGAGAGTGGCTTGGTTATATCTTATAGCTCCATATGGTTGTATATAAGCTCTAATTTCACTGTCCTTTGAAGTCACGGTTGGCATGTGAAAAAAAATGATTTGTTTGTTTTGTTTTGCTTTTTTGGCAAGTGTGTTTCTTCTGGGCTTTAAATAGTTGAATATTACAACATTATCACTATGAAAACACTCCGAAAAGTATCGTCAACATGCAAATTGAGGTCAAAGTAATACATTAGTATATATAAATAACGGTCGATCGTACGCGTAGAAATTTGTACGATATGAATATGCACATCAATTGAAGGCGCACTGATCATGATTCACAGCAACATTATAGGGGGTTTTCGAAACCTTTGCTTTGGCTTCTGCTTTTCTTCTGACTTCAAAATCACTGAGAGGCGAACCAAATGGGAATATTCCAACTTTTGGCTTCATATCAACCGATTGAATGTTCCTGAAACATAACAGGCACCAAAATGTAGCTGGAGTTCCAGAAGTTGAGGGTCTAAAATCTACGTAAGACGAAGCCAAAGCCAGTCGTTGTGAAAATGCTCATATGATAGTTACATGATGAAAGTTCCTTGAAAAATCTGTCAAGTTTTCACTCCAAATTTTTGATTTTCCCACATCGGTTTTCAAAAGCAGGTGCTAATTGCAAAGGCAGGCACTCTGTAGCTGATGTGCTTGGGGGATAATGAATAACTTGGATATTTAGGGGGATTTATCGGACAAGGACGATGAAGAAAATGTTTGTCTGGTCCAATGATTGTATCAAGTCGCCCCCTGGCCAATTTTCCCCAGTTTTTTTTTAATTTATTTACCTCTTAATTTTTTTCCACTGACAATTTTTTTAAACCTGTGAATAATACAAATTCAACGACTCATCCCAGCTAGTATTTCCTCTGCCCGATACCACAATAAATGTTTCATCATTGTAGTTATTTACCAAAGATTGGTCCATAAATGCAACTATGACCAACATAAAATGAAATGAGATGTGGCACACCTACCCGAGAGCAATGGGACACACATCAAAATACTTAGCAGTTGGCTCTGATTTTTTTTTTTTTTTTAGTTTGAAACAAATCCGTTTTCTTTGCTTTTTTCTTTTTTTGAGGATACTCAATCATTTCTGTCGTTTCAATTGGTGTCTGTCTTTCAGGTGTTATCTCTGCAAATATTTGTGCAATATCTCTGTATATTAACGACTTCTTTTTGCTCTTACAGGCACAGAAAAAGATTTTGATGAATGGGTTCCACATCTGTCAAATGAAAGGAGAGGCTGTCTTCTGGGGTTAAATGAAACATTTGAAAGAGTGAAACCTGATTCCCTGTGCCGACTGAATTATGCCCATGAGCCTAAAGCCAAACAATCTAATCCATGTTCCTGTACTAAAGATGACTATGAGTGGTAAGTGAATTATCAGCTATATATGATGGGCATTTCTACGAGTTTTCGAGAAAAAAAAGTGTGTGTTACATGGAAAAACAGCTGTTTTTGGCTGTTATGTCCAGTCATTAGACTAAGCTCCTCGAGTCTATTGACTGGCCATAGACTGGGGCTCATTTCTGGTATGACTCAATATATTGTTTAACCGTCTTTTCTCGTGCAATCACAGTCTACAATATACACACAGATATTACAGACATTTGCCACTCCTGTTTATAGATTGGCTGAACTCCTCAGCAGCTGTCAGTGACGTTCGACTTGTGTGACTCTTATTGCAGGATTTATGACTAATTGACAATGACATGATGATCAATGTAACTTAGACTTACTTTTGTGGAACGAAATCACTGACTTTGTTATTGTGGCTGCCGCGGTCTCACTTGTGGTGTGAGAAGTTTCAAAAACTATAAGCTCGGACATCTGAAAACAAGGTAACTAAATGACTGGTGTTCACAATCAAAACCAACCAATTACACACCATAAACTCAGAGTCACTTGATAAGCTATGATGATCTCTAAGTGATTAGAGATTATTGCAGGATTTATGACTAATTGACAATGACATGATGATCAATGTAACTTAGACTTACTTTTGTGGAACGAAATCACTGACTTTGTTATTGTGGCTGCCGCGGTCTCACTTGTGGTGTGAGAAGTTTCAAAAACTATAAGCTCGGACATCTGAAAACAAGGTAACTAAATGACTGGTGTTCACAATCAAAACCAACCAATTACACACCATAAACTCAGAGTCACTTGATAAGCTATGATGATCTCTAAGTGATTAAGATAACAATCTGCAATTTAATAAAGCAGAAAATGTTAATAACATAGAAAAGCCTTATCTATAATAATCCTGTCTAGAGGAATTATGCTGGTGTAAATCAGGTTTGTACTGTGCTGTTCTTACCTGTAGAGCACTGCTACATGCATTATTCTCTTGAGGGCACTTATCATTCACTAAGATTTATGTTCCCACGGTACCTTGCGGCCCGCCCGCTGGCCATTTCACTTCCTCTTTCTCTTAGCACGCTTTGTGAAAGACGTGTATTTCAGAGCTCCAATTTCTGTTCGATTTTTTACTTCTTTCATCAGCCATTCCTGTACACTATGGCTTGTAGTCATTTCTTAGATTCCTTCCAGCCTTCCTTTTGAACGTTATTGGTGTGAGATTTTGTTTTACTGCCTCTTAAACGGAGTGACACCTTAAACGGTGTGACACTAGGCAAGTCCCTCACTCCCAGTGCTACCTTGGCCAACAGAGTGACACTTCGCCCTCTATGTAAAGCCCTCATGCCCTATTCATCTACTAGACGCTTAGCCTAGTATTAGCCAAGGTCATTTTGTTGGGGGGGGGGGACACGTACACAAATGGCACATTGAGTGCTGCAAGATCATCCATGCTTGAAGGTACAGTCGAGTCTCGTTAATACAAACTTGTTCGGACCTAGCCAAATTGTTTGTTATATCAGAATTTAGTATTAAGAGGAACATCAGTCCTATTCATTGTGCACATAAATGCACAGTCGGGACCAAGGCTTTATGTTTGTTATAACCAGAATTTTGTATTAACAGAGTTTGTGCTAACGAGATTCGACTGTAGATAGAGTTTTGTTACCGGCACAGAGCTATATTAAATTGCTAGAGCGCTGACTCGATATACAAAGTGATGCCTGCTGGGCGCATCCATGTTGTGCACAAACCTATGGAAAACTCGAAATTTTGTACGGCTTTTGTATGGCTATTGGCATATCTGCGTTTGTATTCTATATGGATGCGTTATCGAAGCCGATACGCCCAAAAGCGAAATGCTGAGCCAAAGCTCAAAGTGCTTTCAATACTCGCCCTAACTAAAAAAAGCTTGACAGCAGGCCAGCTGTGACCATGTACCTAGCTTGCCCGCTGTCAATCTTTGGTGCCTCAACTGCCTGGACTTTATTACAACTCCGGACATACTCTGAGTGTTCATGGCCAGACTGGGGCTCCCACTCTGCAGCCTAGCTTGCCCCCAATCCACAGAAATGCAAGCATTCTTCTACTGTTCTGTCTGGCCAAGGCCCAGCATTACTCCGGGCTAGTGAAAGCTTGGGCTCTTTCAGTCTTCATTAATGATTTCTCACCCTGACCCAGGTCTGTCATCTGAAATACCTGCATCAGCACTTACCCGCGTTTTACCAAGACTAACTTACCTCATGCTGCAACTTTTCCTTTAGCAGAGATGAAACTTTTCAGATTTTAATCGGTAATCAGACTTTTTGACTTTTCCAATGAAAAGTCAGATTTTTTTTACGATTCCTCCCACAAAATATTTTTTCAACTATAATTTCCCAAAAAATCACTGAAAAGTCAATGAAAACGGCACGTAAAAATTATCCAGAGCTTAGTTTTAATTGCTTTCACCTGAGGCTAATGGAGTGCTTCTACGGTAGCAACACCTAGGCTAACACATGATATGGAAAAATCATTGCATCACACGGAAATACAGTGTATGAAGCATGCGTGTAGCACAGTACAGCTGCATACGATGATATGCAACGGTACCTACCAACGTACCTACCGTGCCGCCCACTAGCACATGGCCGGTCGGTTACGGGTAAGCTCATCTGCTCATGAACATGATGAACGATCCAGAGGATAAAATCCAACATGTGCAATTTTCGAAGGTTTCAGATTTAGTTGTATAAAATGCAATGCTTTAAAAATCTCAATGATTGTCCTGAGGATGGCGAAGAAAGCAATAGTGAAACATTTCACTGGCATTTGTTTGAAGAAAAAGACGATAATGCCCAATTTTTTTCACACGTACTATACGGAGTTGTGTGGTTGAATCATGGACATGATTGAATTGTTGTCATGAAAGGTGCCCTTGTCTTTCGGGCTTTTTCCTTGCCTTTCTCAAGTAAGAAGTGAACTTCTTTGTTGATGAGTCCATTACAAAATAACACTAACAGTAGATCAGGCCGTTTGATTTTATGAAAACACTGACCATCTTTTTATCAAAAATTTTCCTTTGGATCAAATTAAAACGGGAGTCGGTGTCCGGAAATTGGGCCTGAAGTGTATTGTACATACAATTGTGTATGTGTATTACAGCCCAGATTTCGGACACGTAATTTTGTTAGGCCTGTTTCCCTGATTTTTCCCCTATGCCAGTTTCATCTCTGCTTTAGATTCTTTGGCTGTTCAGTGTTCAGGGTCCATGATGACCCTTCCACAGTTTCTCTCAACTTAAGGATTGTCACAATCACCAGACCAGTGTAACCCAACCCCAGGATCCATCATGGATGATTGCTCACACTCTCATTTGATTAGCTGTGTCCTCAGCAACTTAAGTCTGTGTTAGAATGCCTTAGTCCATCACTAATTTGGCAGACGAGACAGAAAAAAATCCCTTTTCTTAATGGGCATGGCAGATGAAGTACTGGTTGTCAGGCTGTCAGACTCCACCAGTCCTTGAAGTTCCATCCAACTTTGGATTACGCTGCTGCTTCCAACCATAGGCTGGCTTGTAGCAGTCACTATATCCCAAAGGCTCCAGGCCTCTACCCTCAACTTATGGGGCTCTTTGACCCATTTTACTTGGTCTTAACCCTGGCTATCCTCTGACCATTGATAACTTAACCTCAGTCATGGTTCCAGTTAATGGATGCTCCCAGACCACCCACTGACTAAAACAAGCACCGGGCTCTCTAGGGAGAAATCGAGTGTTTTGACAAGAGATGACATTCAGGCACCATTGCTATGGGACAACACCTTTACTGGAGCGAAAAGGCAGATGCCAGCCATTGCTCTTTCTTCTGCTGACACACCTGCTGTAATGTCCCCATGTGGCTATTGTTCACTTGCTTATTGGTAATCATTTTAAACTTGATTCCAATATGCTGCCTTTACTTATGTCCGCTCCAGCTCTATTTCTGGCCCCTTTCTCCTTCGGTCCAATCTGGTCTCCTGCCTGGCACCGAGTTTGCAACATGTCTGCCTGTACCCTGAATGAGGGTACCGTCTGGGAGGATACAACAAAATGGCGGCCTCTTACATGAATCTCCAGGGTGAGCCCATTTCCTGGCCTCTGCTTTGCAACATGGTACTTCTCAAAAGAGAACGACGGTTAGCTTCTATTTCAGCTCCTGTTTTTCCAAGTCTCAGGCATGGCAAACCGACCCTCTACTATAGACCAGCTGTTTGCCCCCTTTTCCCATATCTCCCATCTCTTCTGAGTGTCCAGGAAGATCAAGGCAGATCGATTCAGAGCTGTTTCTGGGCAAATATGGCAATTTAAACATGTATGGCAGCTTTCTCTGCGATCAGGTGTCCATGCACATTTCATCCGGGCATGGTTTTATACCCCAACTCACCCTTCTTATGTTAGGGGTCCTTGGGCAGGTTTTACACTAACTCGGGCCCCTTCGAGACCCTTAATGAGGCTGCTATCCTGACTATCTCCTTGGTGATGACCTTCCTCTTGATAGTAGCCATGGCTTGCTGCAGAGCGAACTCAGCGAAACCCATCCTCATTAAAGTTCTTTGGAGCCAGGCCATGTATGTTCCAGCCCCATGCCTCCCCTCCCACAGAAAACAGCTCATCAATGATTTTTGACATCTTGATACCCAACTTCAAGCTTCTCTCATCAATTTCGGATGAAAGACCTTGGGTCTGTACCCATAGCTGGTACGTAATTTGGCGGCGACTATCAGACCGAGATTAAATGAAGTTCTGCCGCACCATCTAGCATCTCGCAACACTATCGCCTATTGGGCTGCGTCTGCCATGTGCTTGTATTCATAGATTGGCCTGTACCCCAGGAACAAGGTACATGCCCAAAAAGTCCAGAGTGTAGCTTTTTGATGGGCCTTTTGCAAGGATGTGCCACTAACGGACATCTAGCAAGCCACATGGTGACATCCACCAGCATGTACACAACCTGCTACTTCCAGAGCAAACAGACCATGCAGCCCCTCGACTTAGCATCCCAGCAGCATTACCAGACTCAGTTTGTACACCGCTGGTGCCCCCCAGTACCAAACAGTAAAGGCCTGTCCTCTTTGGTGAGTGCCGATTTCCTGGTTTCGTTCTGATGGGTGTTTATTCATAGGGATTACACTCCCGTGCAGCCCGCTGACCAGCTTGTACACTTTATGTTGTATGCTTGAACCCACCTACCTATATGAAGTAGTGCTCTATGGGTAAGACAAGTGCAGTAGAATCCCCCTCCCCCATTCTACTTGCAAGTACTTACCCATGGAGCGCCCACCTGCCTCCCAACTCTCAAGCACTTGTACTCTCAAGAAAAGAGGGAGTGAAATGGTGGACAGGCCGCTAAATAATGTAGGAAAATGATAGAGAATGGATAGCATCCTCATGTGGTAATGCTCTACAGGTAAGTATTCGCTAGTAGAATCGGCACACACTTCCGGGGGGGGGGGGGGATGGTGTCAACATTATCAATATGAGTCACTATTTTGCAGTTTAAAAAAGCTTTCTGCGAACATAACTTTAATTTGGAGTCCATACAAACACATAACCTAGCATGTCATTTACTTCTTATTATGTTTATGCTGCAGATTCACAATTCCTCACAGGTCCATTACAATGCTTCTAGTCCAAATTCAAGTCACTTAAAGTGACGTTACAAAGTTGCCCTTGTTATTTGTTCATCCCTTATTACTTGTAACCACACTTTGAAATTGATATGTTTTCACTTTTTTTATATTCTTCAGTGACTTTGGGTTTAGCCGCAAAGGTGAAAGTAAAGAATGCAAAGTGAGTGCGGATGTTGACCCCTCACACCTGGACATCTGCATTAATGGAAACGAGGAGAAGATCAATACTTGGGGGTAAGTTATACAATAAAACCAGCTTCATCTGTTTAACCTTCATTTTATTCTGTGATCCCATCACTGCATGAATGAAACTTTATAGCTGATGTTCAATAATGGATGTGTATGAGTGCAGTGGTAAGAATAATTTCATGAGGTGACACATAAAATTTATTATTTATATGACTGCACATTACCAAAAAAGCACAAACAAAAATCATAATGCTGTAAAGCCCTATGTTCTGTCCATCAAACAGACATACTTCTAGTTTATTTCAATTTTTGTTTTGGGGGAATGTTTTTATGAACATGTGTAGCATTTTTCAGTTATCATTTTTATTTCATTGCCTTTGATTGTAAATGAGAAACAAAAAATACTATGATTTCAATCACAAAAAGGTACTTCTTTTTCTTTTTGGAAATACCAACATTCTGACCAGTTAAGTAAATCTATAAAAAAGAGTCTTAACTTGAGTTCTGGGAAGTAGTAACACCGTGTGACATTGATCGTTGTTTATAAGTTTTGTGGTTTAGAGCTGTGAAATATTGAAATAATTATAACAAAAATGTCAGTCACGTCAACCTCATCCCCAGTGCTTACGTTATTTCCAACCTCGTTTCCAATAGCCCTGGATAGGAAACTTTCTTCCAGCATCCTGATTCGATACCGCAATTGGCTAGAACTGGATTTATATCGTATACTTGGTGTTGTTATTAACAACGTGCAGTACGTGTTTTCGCGATCATTCGTCCACGCCTTATCGAAAATATTCATTTCCTTTCCAGTTTGTTTTTATTAATATAAAATGTGATACTGCATGTTGTCTCGTTAAGATCGTAACAGTTTAATTAATGTAAAATTGTATTTTCGTAACTCATGCCATGCTCGCGCTGCGACAAATTGATTCTGTTTTTACCTCAGACATCGCATACAAAAACAAACACAAATGTCACACACTAGGCATGCACCAGACTATTCCTCATTTGCATACGTGTTCAAAAATCTTGCACATGCAAATGATCCAATACCAGGGTGAGAGAACAGGTAGTGGTGGGTGCGTACTGCTCAGCACTCTGGGGACGAGTTTGCAGTCACGTGTAATGTCAGTCTCGGTCTTTTAGCTTAAGGTAATGTCAGTCACGTTATTGCACTCTGAAGTATATTACAAGTAGAATACTGGTAAGTCCATGTGCATACAATGTACAAGGTGGGTAAAAAATAATGTCACTTTGGATAATTTGTTGTCTCCCACAAAAATGGGAAAGGTTACTATTGATTTGGGGGTCAAAAGGTCAAAGGTCAAAGTCACAGTAGTAAATTAAAGGTTAATGGTTTCCAGATGATAACTTCACTCCTGTTGAGGGGTTTCAACAGCAACACTGTTATTTTTCTTCTCAGTCATCATTCGGTCTGGGTATTAACCATAAGTCAGTAAAAGTTTCACTGATATTCATCCATGCATGAAAAGGATGTATCCATACAGGCCTTTCTTTGTGACTACCCCAAACCATACCAACACGATGTTCAGAATATGCCTTTTGCTGTGAACACGATGGCAACAATGGGCCTGAGGACAATGAAGGAAATTATAGGAATAGCAGAACAAGACATCAATTAAATAGAATTACATTTATTGAACTTGAAAGTGAATGACAGATACGGTTATTTTCACTTTGTTGCTTCTCGACCCTCCACCTGTCTGTCATTCAGATCAATGCGTAGTTGTGCCCATGTCCTCATGTCTGCAATAGCTCTGCGGACCATCCGTGTTCTTGTGAGGGCTTGGATTTCACAAGTAATCCTGGTGAAAGTCCTGCAGGGTGTTTGGCACAATGCAGTACACCCGGTCCTTGAGGTGCCCCAAAGAAAAAAAATTGAAGGGGGATATTAGATTTTGAGATCTTGGCGCATCTTATTCAGGTTCTTGGCAGACTTATGACTCGTGACTCGGACTCGAGTCAGACTCGAGTCACATTTTTAATGACTTGGACTCGCACTCGAGTCACTTTGACTTACGACTCGGACTCGGACTCGGGGCTACGGACTCGAACTGACTTGTGACTCGATGGAAATTACCGCACTGCACACGCACACATACGTAAGTCGATCGTTTTCTTTACTGTGCAATACATGTACAGGGCGCTCGATACGGTGCGTGTGTGGCCGTGGCCGGTTACCGATCTATTGATTAAAGAAATCAATGTACCGAAACTTGTACCCCGCCGTCCGCACGCAATACTGCATTGGTGCAAGATTGATAGGGTAAGGTACCAGACTTTTCTTGGCAGACGTCCTGTCGTTCACTCGTGTATTGCTGTCGCATCGCGATAACGCGATATGATTAGTCTGCTGATCTGCCAGTTTCGGTAACGTTACATGCAAGTTGCAATGTACGTAGATCATGATAGCATCCACTCCAAAAATTGTCAATTTTGGGTATCTTAACTTCAAGAGAAATGCAAATGGAAGATCAGGTGCAGAATGCAAGTTCTGCAAGAGGAAATAGAGGAGAAAACCGGCACTACGTCAAACTTCAATCGCCACCTTTCATAGAAGTCTAAAAAAAGATATTTGAAACGCCTGAACTTTAAATGCAAAAGTTAGTCCAATACCAGTTTTGTCTGAATTGCCTTTATAACTGTTTTTGCGAATGAACTCCTCATTTCCAGAGAAAATTAGAGAAAAGCTGTGGGGAAAAATGGAAATTTACAGCACCTAAAATGTATGTTTTTCCAATACTATATCAAAGGTGACTCTGAATCTCTGAATTCCCTAAAATGTATGTTTTTCGATACAAAGAGGTGACTCGTGACTCGGGACTTGGACTCGACCTTTGTGACTCGTGACTCGGACTGGGACTCGACCTGGAGGACTCGGGACTCGGACTTGGACTCAAGAAATGTGACTCGGATTCGGACTTGGACTCGATGTTTAGTGACTCGAATACAAGTCTGGTTCTTGGTTGTGGCATTAACGTTGAATACCCCCTTAAAATATTGAGAAACATTGTGTTGTTAGTGTTTTTGGGTAGTTGCAAAGAAAGGTCTGTATCCTTTGCATGCATGGATGAATATTAGTGACATTTGTACTGAATGTGGTCAATACTCAGATCGAATGTTGGCTGAAGAGAAAAGCTGGTAAGCTTTCTTCCTTTGTGGGAGACAACAAATTTTCCAAAGGGACATTTTTTTTTAAAACTCACTCTGTACACGTGGTAAGCATTGTTGTAGTACTCGTACTCGGTACTCGTATAATTTTTTTTTAGAGTACTCATACTTCAATGTCAAAGTACTCATACTCGTAACGACGGTACTGGTACTCGGGCAGCAAAGTACTCGTACTCGACATGTCGAAATTATACTCGATCATCAAAGTACTCGTACTCGAATAACAGTACTCCAAATGGTATCGCTTGACTTACCGCGGCCTTATTTTATTATAATAAAGAACGTGCAACTGTGTAAAAGTCGTCGTTGCGGGCAGCAAACAAAACACAGTAAATCGTGACGTAATAAACAGGACTCCCGATGCACAGTAGCATACACGAGTCCTGTTTATTACGTCACGATTTACTGTGTTTTGTTTGCTGCCCGCAACGACGACTTTTACACAGTTGCACGTTCGGGTCGAAACTGGACCTGAAAAACAGCTCTCAAAAGTACCTTTTGTACTCATTTCATGACAGAAACAATAGTTGTTTTTATTTCATCACACCTTAGGCTACATATACCCGAAAAATGACGGAAATGTCTTCGAGCATTCCACAACCTCTTTAACTATTACATGTATTTCTACACTCCCATGTATACTATTAGTGTACCGGGTATTTCCCGTGTATGTGTATGTACATGTATGTAACAATCATAACAATCATGGAATGTGGAAATGAGTGTTGGAACATCCTCTTAATGGCTGGAAGTTAAGGTGAAGTTGAATCACATGCAAAACACATTTTTCAATTTCGGCTCTCTATAGATATCGTAAAATTCCTGGAGATATGTGCGTAAATGGTTTTCAGCCAGTCAGAAGCATGGACACACTTCAGCAGCAGTGCACAAGTGGTCTGGAGTCTAACTTGTCTGTGGAGCAGGTGAGAATAACCAAAGTTTAGTGTCATGGCAAAACGGTCTCAATTCATTTTAAACTATTTAGAAATAACATCACAAGCCTTAGAAAGTATAAATAAAGACAGTCTTTGATTCTTATGTTACAGATACATAAATCAGTCAGATTTTTTGTTTTTATGCTCAGCCTTGGTGAACAGCCACTGTTTTTGCCCGCTCGAGTTGGGCATGCGAGAATGTGCGCCATGTACTTGACGTGCTGTTTTAGACAGAACTCGCTCGCTCGGGATGTCCGGCAGATTTTCAGTATTTCGCCAGCATTTTACTTGTACACGTCGGTGTCCTCACCGTCCATGTTCTTCTTCTTGCTGAACCCGCCTTTGACTAGCTTCCTGCAGAAATTCACCCACAGGCTGTCAAGCTTGTCTTGTACGGAGGCTTGGAGTCGTTCGGTTTGCACTGCATAGACTAGTCTGCTGCGCACCATTGCCTCCAACATCCGGACCCGTGTTGCCATCTTCACCTCCTTGTCCGTCAAGACGTCCTTTAAATGGTCTTGTCTTTAAATGATTTGAGCTTTACATGGTAGATTACATCATTTCATAGTGGTGTTTCATAGTCTGCTAGTGATGAGGCCAAGAACAACCAAAAATTACTTCTGCTTCCAATTACATGACTTTCAAAAATAGGATCAGTCAGTCGGAAAATCTTTTTATTTTGATATTTTTGCAATTTTGTTTATGTGCAGATTGAATGGAGTATTTAATCATATGCATATTGTTGGTTTGAATTATTTTCATTTGCACAACAAAAGCAATCAAAACCACCCTCAAAAGTGATAAAACCTTACCTTAATTAGTCCTCCTGCTGTCTAAACAGTCACAGACGATCAAAATTCACTTCCACTTCCCCTGCTTTACTTTTAACAATGGCTAGTCACCAGCAGTCAGATCAAACAGGCAAAGCTGGCAAGTTGTGGTTTCACGCCTTTTTTTTTTATGCCCGCGGCGAAGCCCAAGGGGCGTACTGTTTCCGCCTTGTCCTTCCGTGGGTGGTTGGGTTTATACGTATACTGACTTATGGGGTACCGGGAACAAAGAGCAACAATAGGGACAATGGTACCCTGCAAGTCGGTCTTTAGAAATCTCAGTACCCCATACGTAAAATGCTATGGAGTTTGAGATTTCAATGGGAACAAAGGAGAATAAAAGAAGGGAAGTCAAGTGGACAATAGTGGTACCCCATAACTACCCAAAACATGTATGTCTGAGTTTGTCTAACAGTCACTATGTGGGCATGTGAACAAAAGATGTCCACAAAATTCAGGGTGTGTTGACGTTATGTGGACTAAGCTGTGTCCACATAACATTTCGCCCTCTCTGGAAAACAGGTTTAGGGGCATTTTTGGGTTAGGGTTACCTGTCGCAGAATAAAGAGAAACATTCAAGGAAATCAATAAGCAAATTTTGGGTTGAAAGAGTCTTCACAATTAAAGTAAAGTTATTTTTTGTACCGAGTTTTCTTAACTACATGAAAACAAAGGAATGTCCACATAGAGTATCTAAAACTCTGTTACAACTGTAGCTAAGGCCTGTCATGTAGCTGAAGTAATTAATGAGATATACGCACTATAAATGACCATTACGGATATTACACTGTAAGACATCGATTTTTGTTTTTCAATACGCATTGATAAAAGTCTGTGAAGTTTTTTGCAAGTATTGAATGAAATAACTATGTTGTAGTAGAGATAGGTTCTCTATAGGGAGGGGGGGGGGGGCTGGTACCGTCTTATGCACACAAAGGGCAAATATATGGTGCTTTTCAGGGCGATACATGTGCGAAATTCTGAAAAAAGGCACCCAAAACGGCAGATGCCAGAATAAAGGGCACCACTTCTTTTTTGAAAAGGACACTAGTTCATAAAAAAGGGCACTTCATAAAAAAGGGCACTATTTACAAATTATTGGGGGGGGGGGGTTTAAGCTCGATGAAAAAAGGGCATTTGAATGGAAAAGGGCATTCTTTACAAAATATTGGGGGGGGGGAAATACCCCCCTTACCCCCCCCCCCCAGGCTACGCCTATTGGGGAGGGGGGGGGGGGTATTCTCAAGTTGCCTTGGGTCAGATTGGGTTCAGGGGAATAAGATCAAATGTCAACAATTTCGAGTTGAATTAGCATGTCGCGCACAAGTGCCGTTTTTATCCCCCATGCTGCAAGCCGGAGGGGAATATTGCGACAGCTATTCCTTCTGTGTGTTTGTCTATGCGCGTTTGTTTATGGTGTAAATCGAGGTCACACACGTGCAACATCATATATGAATCGAGGTCAGGAACCAAATGGACAACTCATCGGTTGGAAAACGTGTACAAAACCAATGAGAGCTGTTGCGAAAAAGTTTAAGTACAAACAAAGGAAAAGGGAAGAGAAAAAAAAAGAAAATCCTCGATTTACACCATAAACAAACGCTCTTGTATTGTATTACGCTCGAGGACAGACAACAAAAGGAGCACAAAGGGGCCTTTGATCCTCGGACGACGGTGCCTATTGTTAAAACTGGTCCTCTATCGTACGGTTATGTGCTTAGTCTATGGGAAAGTGTTATATTAGAGGGACAAAGGGAAACACAATAGGTTGTCCTCAGGCGTATAGTAAAACACGACTGTGCGCGCATGTGTGTGCGTATGCATTTTTTCTGTGTGTGTGTTATGTTTTGGTTAAGTTAACTCTTGTCGGCACGATAACTTGAAAAATACTTTACTTACAATATATGAACTTGAAATTTGGTTGTGGGTTGTTCTTGGTAGCCTTATCAAGCCTATTGATTTTGGGACCGATAGGTCAAAGGTCAAAGCATTATTTTGCTAAAACAATAGAAATCTACTATTTTGGTTAGGGATACTCGCTTTACAAAAAACTGCCAGCATGCCAGGGGGATTGCGCAAGTCTCACTTGCAGTATTTTTGGATTAAAGTGTTGAGACAATAACTGGGAAACTGATCAAGTGACTGGTCACCAGCATCGTCATCTTATCAGCGAGTTGTTTCTGCACACTGTTGCTAGAGTGGGCTTGGATCAAGTAGTCAACTTCCCTACAAGTAGAACCAACACACTCGATCTTATATTAATAAATTCCCATCATATGTTACCAGATGCGAGAGCTCACCAGGCCTAAACAATCATGACATCATTCTTCTTGACACAAATGTACAGGCACAGAGGCGAAAACCATCTCGTCATATGATATCAGTGATGTAGTGCCTTGATGCTGGGCCTTGGCCTTAAGGCTGGATTTTAGGGCCTTGGCCTTGGCCTCGAGGCTTGAGGGCAAAAGCCTTTGCCTTGGCCTTGAGGGTTCAGGGCCTTGCAATTTTGAGTCAAGACTCTTCAAGGCCCATAGATTTTTGCACTTTCCAGATAAATCTGTTGTAAATTTTGCTGTTACCATTTTAATCGTATTACCATGGAGGAGGGAGGCACCCTATAGATTTGTGTGTTGGGCACACTTCCACTTTTATAGCATCATATTTTGTTACCATTGTAGTAGATTTGCTGCAAAAATATTCCGTACACTTGTGGGGCTAATGAGATGATCACTTTAATTGCATATAACTATGGAATAGATCTGATTGGTTGTATATGTCTCCCTGATAAGTGCTAAAGATTTGCATGTATCTGTTTTAGATGATGCTGATATTTCTGACCATGTTGGGCAAGCAAATAAAAATTTCCAAAATCAGTTTCTTGGATCCCCCTTTTGTTACACTTGGGAAAATTGTGTGTCAATATAGAAGTAAATCATTATTTTGTTTAGTTAAACCATATTGAAGACCTGAACTTATACTTTAATAGATACAATGCAGTCATAAAACGGTGTAGGCCTATGGGAGCATATTGATTGCAATTAAAGAAATGTTGTTCTACGTAACGAGCAATTTGTGATGATAAGGGCGGATCCAGAAGGGCCAAAAGGGGCCATGCCCCCCCCCCAAAAAAAAACGAAACTATTTTTTTTTCATGTGACGTCGTAATAAAGGCAGGCAATGAGAACACCACCATCTTTTCCTAAAAAAACATCGGTTAAAATGGTCAGAAATTGCCTCAAATCGCACCACAGAGCATCTCGAATCCAAAAAAAATTCGGGGCCCTTAAAGCGGGCCCCGAAGCCCAAGCCATAATTTTTTGCCCCACTTTTTTTGGGGGGGGCCAAAATTTCTTGGCCCCCCCCCCAAACTGTGTTCTGGATCCGCCCTTGCGTGATGATATGTCACTCATGTGACTATAATTAGTTCTATATCAGTGGTCATTTCATAAAACAGGGCCTTGGCCTTGGCCTTGAGGGTTAAGCCTTGGCCTTGGCCTCGAGGCTTTAGGGTCAAAGCCTTGGCCTTGGCCTTGAGGGTCAAAGCCTTATGGAACAGTGCTGATTTTGACACCTTTAGGGCAGAGTCTAAGTTGTGGGCTGACAGCATTGTTGATAGTTGCTCTGTACATACTCGAATCAAACAGCTGGCGACTGAAGAGCAGGACGGTCTGGAAATATCGATGCAGGAGCATGTTCCATCAAAGCTCAGTACCACAAGATTCAACCAACCGTGGTTTAATTCATCATCAAAGAGCGTCACGCAGGAAGTCACATGCTTTCAAGAAAGCCAGGCGTACCAATAAAGAGTGGGATTGGCTTCGCTTCAGACGCCTAAGAGAAAGAGTCACAACAGACGTGTTGTCAAGCCTATGTAACCAATATATCATAACCATCGTCTGCTCTGAGCCCTTCAGGAACAAAAAACTTGGTGGGTTGGTGAAGATAAAACGATGCGATCAGAATGGAGTAGCTCCTCTGAAGGATGGCAATTTCATGCATGCCGACCTGAAAACCAAGGCAAACATCCAGAACAAGCAATTCTGTTCAGTGTTCACCTGCGAAGGTTCTGCGGACCTACCGACTTGGGTTCCAACCCTCACCCTACCATCGATGATATCCAAGTCAGTTGCCCTGGGGTAATCAAGCTTTTGAAGAACCTGAAACCACTAAGCTTCCATAGATCAGGGAGTAGTTCCGTCAGCATGGAAGAAGGATCTTGTTGTACCCTTGTTCAAGAAAGGCAACCAGTCACTGGCTGCAAACTACCATCCGATATCGCTGACAGCAATCCTACATGTATGTAAGTTTAATATGTGCTCATATATATACTTCATTGTGCTGTTATTCGCCATCTCACTCAGCATAACATCTTATCCGATGCACGGCACAGCTTCAGAAAGAGGCGATCATGTGACACCCAACTGATTCTGACCAACCTTGACCTAGCTAAAGGGCTTGATGAGAAAGGGCAGATTAACCTTCTCTTACTGGATTTCCAAAGCCTTCGATAAGGTCTCCCACCGTCGACTCCTTCAGATGGTTGATTACTACGGCGTCCAAGGTCACTTTTTGCAGTGGATCCAAGATTTTCTCCACAATCGTACACAACAGGTTATTGTTGATGGGAGAGTACCAGTTACATCAGGTGTGCCCCAAGGGAGTGTATTAGGTCTACTTCTCTTTTTGATATACATCAACGACCTGCCTTCCTGCGTCAAAAGCTCAACAACCCGCCTTTTTGCAGATGATTGTGCACTGTACAGACGTATCTCATCGAGTCTTGACATCATCTTATTGCAAGATCTGGATGCACTGTTCAAGTAGGAACGTACATGGCTGATGGAGTTCAATCCAACCAAGTGTCAGGTAGTACGCATCACAAACAAGCGGAAACCAGTCCCATCATCATATAACATCCGTGGACACAGTCTGGAGGAGGTTGACTCTGCCAAATACTTGGGTGTTGATGCAGTAACAAAGAAGGCTAATTCCACGTGAGCTTTTCTCAGCCACAACTTCAGCTGTTGCACTCGCAGAATCAGAGAGGCTAGCTACATGACATATGTTCGCCCCATCATTGAGTACGCCGCTCCAACCTGGGATCCCCACACTGAAAAAAATATTAAAAAACTGGAGCAAGTTCAGCACTGGCAACTACGACCGCACCTGCAGTGTAACATTAATGCTACAAGACTTGCACGGGAGTCCACTCAAGGCCAGATGTCTTCAGAGCCATCTAAGGATGCTTTATAAGATCTTGGTAGACATACACTGGAGTTCCTTCCTCACTGAGGCCAAATTTAGTACTAGAGGTCACAGTTCAGGGTTCCTTGTGCTCCATTTCGAAACACAGGTTGTCTACTCATTCTTCCCACAAACTTGCCGAGACTGACCTTGGACCCAGCCAGCCTACCCTCCCTCAGTGCGTTCAAATCAGCATTGAGGGATGTTATACTCACTAGCTTCAAGTTCTGTTTTTAACCTGCACTGCAGCACTATACATGTACATAGTTTGTTATTAGCACAGTGAGTCAAGCACATTCATTGTTATTGGAGCACACCCCCACCTGTATTGCATTGTTTTTCTCATTGTAGAAGTTTGCACTTTTCAGAAAAAAGCTGCTAAGGCCAATTATTTGTTCCCAAATTGTGGTTAAAGCATGAAATTTGGCATGTAGAGCCGAAACGGTATAACAATTAAAAAAAAAAAAAAAAAATGTTCAGCATTCCACAACCTCTTTTATAATACAGTTCTTCTGAATTTTTATTCCTTGCGCGCCCTCCCTTTTTTTTTTTTAAATCAAGCTCTGCCCCCGAATCGGCAAGATTCAAGGTGGGTCCACCTCTTAAAATGATTTTTTGTTATACTGTTTCGGCTCTGCATGCCAAATTGCATGCATTTACCAGAATTTGGGCACAACTAATTGGTCTAAGCATCTCCACTATTACCCAGGATACGTGTACATTTGTATCTAGGCTTATGAAATATATAAAAATGTAATTTTTAAACCATTTTATTGCAACTTTATCCAACTTGTTTCCATTCTTACGTAGCATTTTTGGTTTCAGGAGGTCAATCTCAACACTTTAAATCCAAAAACGGCACTTGTTCACGAAATTAAACTCAAAATTTTCGACATTTGACCGTAGCCCCCTGACCCCCATCCAACCCAGGGCAACTAAGAATGGCCATCTCAGAACCACCCCCGACGGACTATGGCATGTTACATCAACCATCAAACCCATAGGCGTAGCCAAAGGGGGGGGGGGGGGGCAAGGGGGCAATGGACTCCCTTGTAAAAAAAAATTAAAAAAATTGCAATATATAGAGAGGGAGAGAGACTTGAAAAGAGAAAAAAAGGGGAGGGAGAGACACAATTAATGCGGCAGTTCACATCAGATCATAGCCTGCTAGGATTAGTTGCTCATACATGTAAGACAACATGAATAGTTAATGCGGTACCCGCTGCTATGTACATACGATTTGAACCAGCCAACCAATCCGGTTAGCTCAATGGTTGAGTGGTAAGACATCTGCACTACATGTATACAGCAGGAGGTCATGGGTTCATTTTTCCAACTTTCACTCGGGAGGTAACACGCTGAGTATACAGTGTTTATACGTCGGTGAAGGGCAAAACCTAATTTGATTTGTCACCCAGACACAAAAATCCCGTCTCACTTTGTGTGGCATTGCCCGTGCGTTTCTGACGTAAACAGGTAGTCGACCAGCATTTTCACGAAGACAGAAAAGACAACATGAATTTTAAACTTTCATTTTTAATTTGCTGATTATAAACTCTAGGGTTGTGCCATAAAATTATGGTTTGTCGGGTAACCGGAAACAGAAGTATTTTTGGGGGCCTTATGACTTGTATCCAAGAGTCCGTCCATGATAGTTTTTATTATATAACCGTCATACAGATCCCTGTCATTTGATTGGTAGAACTTACATCACGTGACATTCGTTATTACTCCCATTCACGCCGGGGCTCAAAAAGTCCCACTCGCCCATAGGGAATGGGAAATACTATTGAACAGATAGGATCATTCTTGTTCCATGACGCGGTATTTGTGTGCAAATGCATGCTAGTATGGGCGTTCACATTGCGTGTAGCGCGTATTGTTCCAAAGAGCCAGCGCTACAGAGTTCGGTTCAAACATTTTTGTGAAGGGGTGGTTTGGAAGAGACAAATACAGTTTCCACCAATTTTGTATTGAAATAAAAGTTCAAATATATCAAATGACAAGGATCTAGTGGCTTTAGATTGTGAAATGGAAGGAATATTATTGCTCTGTAAAATCTGGACTTTTCCAGTTCACTCAGCTTCGCCTCGTGAAATGGAAAAATCCAGATTTTAACCTTGCGATAATATTCCTCCCTCTTCACTCTGACCTGTATAACAGTGCATCTGCAGACCAATGTAGATATTTTTCTTTCAAAAAAAGCAAAACCCAAATGTTGGGACCATTGTTTTAGTGAAGTTCTGCATGTAGACCTTTCACAATATAGGATATGAAAGCCCAATTCATAGGCTTTCTTTTAGTACAGGAATCATTCAAATCACTCATGTACTTTTCAAGTTACGGAATTTTAAACACAACCACTGTTTTAAAGTTCTGTCCACGGATCACAAAAAAAGGTGTGCCTTCTTTCAGCAAAACGAAAACAATTCACACACGTCCCTTTGTGATTTGTTTTTGTTTTGCTGAAAGAACACTTACCTTGTTGTGATCCGTGGACAGAACTTTAAAACGGTGGTTGTGCTTAAAATTTGGTAACTTGAAAAGTACATGAGTGATTTGAATGATTGTTGTACTAAAAGAAAGCCTATGATTTGAGCTTTTGTATCCTAGATTTTGAGGGGCTACATGCAGAAATTCACTAAAACAATATAATGGTCCCGACATTTGGGTTTCGTTTTTTTTTTAATCACCCTGTAATAATGACTGTATATAACTACACCTTTTGTGACAGTGTACAGTACAACAATTTTGGCATGTTTATTTGAAATGTGTCACTCTGCAGTTAGATGGCCATCAGGTAAAGACATGGACAATTGTCATGATTCTGCTGGCAGTTGCTTTCTTTTCTGGAATTCTTGTTTTCTTGCTGTACAGGCACAACAAACTCCCCTGCACCAGACCAAGGTAAATGATAAGATTTTTATCACTATATGTCCGGTGTACTTTATGAAATGTTTTGGTGTAATTTAATGTAAACAAACTGCAATTTGTTATCTGTGGGATTCATATGTGCTTGAAAACAAGGGCAGATGATTGCAGTTAAGCAGAACTTCAGGTATGCAGTTCGATATATTTCTGCTACTTAATGCCGAAAATTGCAGGGTTTTGCATCAGAAAAAAACCCCAGATAAATGCCTACGTGCATATTTTGCAATGGAAAACCTTACAGACCTAATGTTGATTTTCAAAACCTAAGACAGTTTACCCATTTCTATTGGTCGAGAGCCCGTCACGTGGCTGTCACGTCACGATTGACAAAGACTGGCTGTCTAGGCCTAATTTCACAACACTGCTAAGCAAAAAAAAAATGCTTATGTAGATACGATAGTTTGTGGTATAACTGGCAGGAACATTAACCCTGAATTTAGTAATATGTCCAGATTGTTGATCACCAAATATTCGCTGAGTAATTTGATACTCACATTTGTAATTGCATATGCCAAGAAATCAGTTTACCACGCTGTTGAATCAAATCATGAAGGTTTTGACCTTTCAGCTTGGCATCATACCGCTACTCACAGCTTAGTGATGGAGACAATTTGGATAAGATGATTGACTTGGAATCTCATCCAACATATCATGACTCCTCCGATGAGGTAAGCACTGCCTATTCAATTGTTCAAAACATTGTTGTGTTTTTAAGCCCATATGACATTAACTTAAAGGCTAATTTTCAAAGCCCTCTATCCATGCAGGAACTGCAAATCAAAAACCCTGTGATCTGTCTAGAGTCAGACACTTCCTCTTGTTATGCCCTGCCGGCGAATCATACTGTTTCCGCCTTGTCCGTCCGTGTGCGTGTGTGCGTGTGCATTTGGTTCCACAGCGATATCTGGATTGTATCTCCATTTATGTCTTGGACCTTGATACAATTAAGGTAGCTTTCTACTCTAGTGTAGCTTACAGAAAATGAATAAGTTTGGACCCTATAAGACAAAGCCAAGGTCATTGGGATTAAAACAATAGGATTTTATTTATTTATTTATTTTTTTTTTTTTTTTTTACCAAACCAGTATACATGTGCAAATGTAATCACTCACTAAAATATTAGGGGGCCTGCACACTGTTTATACATTTTTTTAAATATTTTTTTTGTATTATCAATGTGGCTTCTTCACCCTTTTTTCTTGGACAGTCATATTTTTAATTGAAACAACAGAAAAAGTTTTCTCAACAATTACATGTACATGTATTACTAAAACTTGAGACTTGAACCGTAATACATGTATATGTATATGCAGCTCCGTAGGTTGTTCTTAGGATTTTGAGTCACTTTCGGACCCCATAGGCCAACTGTTCTCTATTTAATTATAAAAAAAAACAAAGAAATGATGTCATGATGATAACTCAAGCTTATTCAAATAACCATATTTTCTTTTGATTGTTTAAAAATTCTTATTTCCATGTACATGTAGGCCTGGTAAATGCTCAAGGGATTATGCTCAAAGGATTTGCCTTTGAGAAATGTCTTGCTTAAGATTGAAAATATCCAGTCAGTTTGCTTAAATCACATACAATGACTTCCTAACAGAAAAGCAAAAAAAACCAAAAAAATCATTATGGGATCATAGGCATCAATACATTACATATATAACCTAAAGAAAACAATAACGATGTCAATGAATGTTCCATGTGACCCAGGTAAGTTGATGTTAATAGAGTGGTGTTATGTCATGGAAATAGGCATGGTTGCGGGGCATTTGTGTTTTTTAACACTACTTTTCTTGTTCTTATTTAAATCTGATTTGATATTTCAAAGACTCAAATCTTAACTAGAGGTTCGCGTTTGTTGAGTTACAAACACAGAGTGGTTGGGCGGACATCCTTTTCAATATACACTGCCCAGTTAAGTTGGGAATGAATGTTCATCACTGTAAGAACAAAGGATCACCAAATAAACTCCCTTCCAGTACAATCAATTATTTTGTTACAAAAATGTATCTTTAACGCTATGATAAATTTCAGTAAACATTCTATGTACGCAAACAAGTTATTTCTGGTTTGATGATGTCATCAGTCAAAAACGGTAAGTGAATACTGAGGAAAAGTTTTCATTGTGAAGTAAAAAAAAACTTTTGAAAAAACGGAAAATATAATTCTATGTATTAATTACACCTAACTTCTGGTTTGATGATGCCACAGCTTTAGAGATCCAAAGGTGAACATTGTAATGTATATCGTTATTTGGACTACGAGGATATGACAGGGATCAAATGATAGAATTTAATTAAAAATACGATCCTTTTCAAATTCTCCTCAAAGTAACTTCCGGTCACATGACGTCATAAATTTGAAAAACGTCACAAATTGTAAAATTTGAATAGATGGTTTTCAAATCAAAGAAAGCAAACACTATTATATGTGCCGCTAGGGGGCACCCTTTTGAATGATGACGTCATCACTCTTGTTTTTTGTGACCAGTGGCGTAGCCATGGGAGGGGGGGGGGACAGCCCCCCCCCCCTTGAAACCTTGTCGCCCCCCCAGTCTTCCCCCCAGTGAGATTTTGAGTTTCTAAAAAAATTACCATTGATCTACATGACGCCCCCCCATGAAATGTTCCAGCCCCCCCAGCACCCCCCCACTGAAAAATTCCTGCGATTGGTGTTGCAGTCCGGCGTTAAAAAAATGGGTTGGCTTTACTGCAAGCACTCCCAAAGCAGAAGTAATATATGTATGGCATTATTGCTTGGCATATATACAAGCTACTTTTATGGGTTTTTTTTGGCAGCAACTTGAAACTTAACTTTGAGAATACACTTTTGTTGTTAAAAAAAAAGTTTTTTCCACCTTTTTATTTCATTGCATATCACCACCGAATGTTCTTATTCGAAAATAAATATTTGAATATTCGATTATCGATCGAATAACCGAATATTCGAATATTCGGCACAGCCCTAATTTTAAGTGTATGTAATAATAGCACCCAACTTCCGGTTAGATGATGTCATAGTATTTGGAAGCAATAGGTCAACATTAAGTATAACAGACGTCATAAATTGGACTAGGAACAAACTCATGAGACAGGGGTCAAATAATGGATGTAAATAAACAGAAACAGATGAAATGAACACCATACTCTATATAGTTCAAGAGCTATAGCTCAAACCATTTTGTCAAATTGTGCTCTCAAATCGCTTGTAATTTGATACCCGATGACGTCATGATGATGTAACAAGGTTTATAACATCTTTATAACATGGTTCAAGTTCACACTAGGTTTTATGATCATCCCGTGAACCGTTCGGAAGAAATAGTGCTTTGTTTTGATTTCAGGCTGTCTTCGTTTTGAATTCACCTAACTTTGACCTTCCAGTAGACCGGGAAGTAAACCAGTAGACCGGGAAGTAAAGGTCAAGCGAGTTTAGGCAAAAAAAAAAAGTCTGCAGTTTCTGGTATGGTATGGAGCTTGCCCAAAAAGTGGTGCGGCGACGCGGCTTTTTTTTTTTTTTTTTACCGGTTTTTTTTGGGCTTCAAATGTCGGCTGATGACTGCATGAAAATGGTGCCCAACTAAACTTAGTGCAAATATATGGGATTCACAGAGGCCACTTAAAGCTTATTCTCGATCGTAACCCCATCTAAAAACACGTTAAAATTGTGCAGCAGCAGGATTCCAGTCAAACCAGTGAGTTTTGCGGTTTTGAGACATCATCTTTCATTGGAAAAAAAACTTTTTCATTTTGCCGACGCGCATGACTACGGCTACGCGCGCGCATACCAGAATCCGGAGACTTTTTTGTTAGCCTTACGTACACGACAAAAAATGTTTAGCAATTAATGGTCTATCCGATAACAGAATGCAAACATCATTGATGATTTAATTCAAGAGTTATATGTAAAGTAATTGGTCACTTTTTCAGCTAAAATCACTTGTAATTTGACACCTGATGACGTAATCATGATCGATTCTGGCCAGGCGATGGTAGATTAGCATATTCATTAGCGTCACTCGGCTTTTTTTTTGGCGTGGGTCTTGGTATTGACCAATGGCAGCCAGCAAAAAGGATGATATTTATCAGTTAACAACTCGTGAAGGAGGCTCTTCTTCAAACTTATACTGCATACCATATTGAATGGGAACCTTATTAATATTTGTGAGTCTTGAAAAGATTGACAGATATTGCAAATGCTAGTCTACCAACTTTCAAAACTGCACGTAGCCAGGCGTATTTTTCCAATTTCAACGAAAGGTAATGAACACATCACTACGATTTTTAGCACGTACTTGGATCATTATGTCAGGAAAGTAAACCCTGAAAGTTGCATGAAGATACGGTCTTCCAAATGGGAGAAATTAATTTTTTTCAAAGATTTCGCCTGCCAACGTGAACATGTGTGTGTACATGTAGTTTCATTCAAAATGAAGTGTTACGTAACCTTTAGAAATCGCCCTTCGCAACCACATGACTGATGATTTCAGCTTAATAATGCCAGGTCCGTCTATCAGAAATTGATATCATTAACCTGGTATCAATTATATTTGATGTATCGAAAATTAGAACACCACACCTACAGATTCTTTATCTTGATTGGCCAAGAGCTAGTCTAACTTTTGCTACTTTTGCTATCCTGCTGTGCACTGTCAAAAGTACTTTATCTTCAAGTAAACTTGAATCCTCGATCCTGATTGGTCGATCCATGGCAACAAGCCATGCTACATATAACCATACCGCACGGCCACGGTCCATACCGCACTCTGCATATTCCGCTGTTCCAAGATACAAGCACCATTGCAGCTGCATATGCTGAACTGCTGAATGTCCGTGTAAAGCGTGCTAGTTCCAACTGTACTGCGCATCAAGTTTGCTTGAAGATAAATTCGTTATCACGCTCGCGCCATGAGCAGACGCACTACATTATTCCGTGTTCCACTCGCGCTCGCAGGATAACGAATAATATCCGTCGCAACCAAAGTACTTTACCAGTAGCAACCAAAGTACTTTACGCATAGCAATTGTTATTGTGTGGAAATGTATAGGGGTGTACGTGTTGCACGTATCTTCCCAATCGCTTGCGCTACAGAGCTGGGTTCAAGCATTTTGTGAATGGGTAGTTTGGAAAGTGCTCGTAAATTTGCAACTAATTTCGTATTCAAATAGAAGTACATTGTAATTGCATTTACATTAAATTAATCAGTTATCACTTAAAATCAAGCAGAATCTGTGGGAGAGAGGTGTCAAAAAACAAATAGTGACTGCAATATTTCATGGTGTAGTAAACCTATTAGTAGACATCATGAAAAACATATATGCATTTCGACGTTCCAACTATAAAATGAAATTGTGAGTTTAAACCTACCAGTCACTTCAAGGGAACTATTTTATAATGTTTGTATTTGAGATAGAAACAAAATTCCTGCATCAGGGTCTTTCCTTGACACAAAGCTTTGTTTTTCAGTGGTCCAACCATGTTCCATCACATACAGACACATCGGCTGCGTTTTTTTTTGTTCCCTGATATCATTTTCTCATATCACATTTTAAATTATGCCCCGCCGGCAAAGCAGAAGGGGCATACTGTTTCCACCTTGTCCGTACTGTTTCCACCTTGTCCGTCTGTGTGTGCATGTGCGTGTACAAACACTGCCTTATGGGGT